AAAAATGTAAACGAACAATCTTATTAAAAATGGGCAAAAATTTGCATAGACATCTCTCCAAAGAAGATACGCAAATGGCCAATAAACACATGAAAAAATGCTCAACATTAATAACCATCAGTGAAATGCATATCAAAACCTCAGTGGGATACACTTCACACCCATTAGATGGCTACAAGCAAAAAAAAACAGATAATAACAAGTGTTAGCGACGATATTAGAAATTGGAACCCTCATACACTGCTGGTGAGACTATAAAATGGTGCAACCACTTTGGAAAACAGTTTGGCAATTCCTCAAAAGTAAAATATAGAGTAACTATATAAACCAGCAATTTTACTCCCGTGTATCTACCCAAGAGAACTAAAAATACATCTCTAAAAAAGTAAAAATAAATGTAACATAAATTCTTCCAATCCATGAATACGGTATATCACTCTATTTATTTAAGCCTTCTCTGATTTCCTTTATCAGTATTTTGTAGTTTTCGGCACACAGATCTAGAACTTATTCTGTTAGATTTATACCTAAGTACTTCACGTTTTTTTGTTCCACTGTAAATAGCACTATTTTAAATTTAATTTTTTAATTGTTCATTGCTAGTATATAGAAATACAATTGATTGTGTAAATTGACTTTGTATCCTGCGACCTTGCTGAACTACACACAATTCTCCTAATAGGGTTGCTCCCTTATTTATGAAGCTAAGAATTATAATTTTCACATTGTAATACAGTAAAGAAACTAAAATATTAAAAATAAATTTGTTAAAGTACTGATTCTTCCCAAACTGATCTACAGATTCAATACAAGTCCAATCAAAATCCCAGAAAGATTTTTAAAATAGAAATAGACAAGGTAATTCTATAATTCCCATGGGAAAGCAAATGAACCAAAGAACCAAAACAATTTTGAAAAAGAACAAAGTTGGAGGACTCACAGTACCTGGTTTCCAGTCTTACCTTAAAGCTATAATAATTGAGACAGAATGGGTGTTTATGAAAGCATACATATTGATCAATGAAACAGAACAGGGAGTCCATAAATAGATCCACCCATACATGGCTAACTGATTTTCAACAAAGAACGAAGATGATTCAATGGAAAAAAAGATAGCCTTTTCAATAAATGGTGCTGAAACAACGGGACATTCACACAGCAGAAAAATTCATACACACATAAAAAGAACTTTGATAACTCACACAATACATAAAAATTAACTCAAAATGGATCAAAGACTAAATGTAAGGCCTAAAATTATAAAACTTCTAGAAGAAAACACAGAAAATATATAAAACATAGAAAATCTTTGTCAACTTGAGTTAGGCAAAGATTTCTTAGCTAGAATACCCAAAGCACAATCTATAAAAGGAAATTAACAAATTAGATTTTACCACGTATCTTCTGTTCTTTGAAAAATATCGTTAATAGAATGAAAAGATGAGTCACAACTGTAAGAAAATATTTGCAAATCATACATTTGATAAAGGACTCGTACCTAGAATAAAGACTTCTAAAGACTCAGTAATAAAAAACAAACAAACAACCCAATAAAAAGTATGCAAAAGACTTGGACATTTCACCAAAGAAGACGTATAGATGGCAAATAAATAAGTGAAAAAATGTTTGACATTATCAGTTATTACAAACATGCAAATTAAAACCATGAGATACCGCTCCCTATCAGAATGACCAAAATTTCAAAATTGACAATACCAAGTACAAGGATGCTGGTAGAAATGTAAAATGGTATGGCCACTTTGGAAAACAATTTTGACCATTTCTTATAAAGTTAAACATATACTTATCATACAACCCATTAATCTCACTCCTGGGTGTTTACATATCCAAGTGATACGTTCACGCAAAAAATTGTGTGTGTGTAAATTCTTACAGAAGCATTTCTAATTGCCCTAAAGTGCAAGTAACTCAAAAGTCCTCCAGCTGGGGAATGGATAAACAAACTGTAGTACATCCATACGACAGAATGACAGTCAGCAATGAGAAGGGACCAACTACAGATACGGGGAGCATGGATGCCTCTCAAATGCATTACGCTAAGTAAAAGAAGTCATATTCAAAAAGCTACATACTATATGTGTATTGGTTATGACATTCTGGAAAAGGCAAAACTGTAGGGACAATAAACAGTTCAGTGTTTGCCGGGGCTGGGAGTGGGGGAAGAGGCTGACTAGAAAGAGACAACACGGGGGAACCTGAGGGGTTGACAGGCACTGTTCTGTATTTGATCATGGTGGTGGTTACGTGACTGTATGCAAAGGCTGAAATGTGTGAACTCTTCACTTTTGAAAAAGGGCAAATTTTATTGTATGCAAATTATATCTTAATTTTTTCACGGAAAAAATGTAACACGTATTTAATATAGTTCAAAATATACTTGTTATTTGTATGCTAACCAAAGTTTCGATTTAAAATAAGTGTAAGAGATGAATGAAGACTGCTTCTGTCACGGTGTCCTCTCAATTTCTGACACATCCTGTGAATCACGACCCCATCTGAAAAAGGTATGTTTTTAATGTACAAATCGAAACCACATTCTTTTCCAAAAGAATGTGATTCTTATAAACGAACACGAGGAGAAATTGCTAACAGCTAAGAAACAACAAGAAAAACAGTACGTTTTGTAATCCTTGCATCTTTGTAACCCACTGACAACACTTCAGGGAACAGGAATAAACTCTAGATTACACAATATGGATTTATATAATTGAAACGTCACCTATTAAAAAAATTGACATAAGGTGCCACAAAAAATGAAATTGTCCTTTCTCTTACAATCTCTTTGTAGAGTGCAGAAAACAACTACATTTTATAGAAAAAAAATTAAAGAAAAAAAGGTAAAGAAATGAGTAAGACAGGGAACAGAAATTGGGTCAAATTACAAATCGTCCATGTTTTTCAGGTTGATTCTTCCATTTTCCAATGCACCTGCACCTCTTTCAAGGAGTTTATCCGAGACTCTGCTTTCTCCTCCCAAAAACCTGGCCCCACAGGATAGAAATAGTCTCTCTTCTTGAAATCCTCTAACACTTTGACCCTCTTTGTGGATCTTTTCATCATGATAATATTTACTCAATTTACTGTATGCCAAGAACTGTGCTCAATCCTATCCCTGTATTACCTCATTTAATACTCACAGAACCCCACAATGTAGGCGCTATTATCACTCATTTTATAGATGAAGAAATTGAGACATAAAAATGTTCCATTACTTGCCAAAGTCACAAGGCTAATAAGTATTGGATCAGACTTTTATCCCAGGTAGTCTACTTCCAGAGTCCCTTCTCGGAACTGCTATACATAAAGATTAAGTCATTCGTTCAACATTTACTGAGTACCGAGCACTAGTTCACCCACTAAGGACAGACAGAAGAATAAGACAAGGTCCAACTCTCCCATGAAGGAATATCTGGTCTAGTTGGGCGAGACCCACGAAAAAGTGCAATATACTGAGTATACCCTAAGTGTGTCTGGGGAGTGATAGGGGAGTGACAGGGAAAGCATCTCAGGACTGTCTATGTCTGTCACAACAGTATGAGTGTGCCCCACATTTTAGTCATCCTGTATACCCCCTTAGTTCCTAGCAGGCTCTGAACGAACATTTGTTGAATAAACAGCTAAAGTTGACCCATCTCTTCTACTTTTGTTGTGCCCGTACCTATGAAAATTCAACTCAGAAAGATGTGACAAGAAGCCAAAAACTACATTTATCTTGCTCTCCACATTCTTCATTCATTCATTCATTCAATAAATATTTATTGACTGCCAACTATGAGCCAGCCACTGTTCTTGGCACGGGACACAGTGGTGAACATGTCACCCTGCTCTCCTGGAAGCAACGTTCCAGTGGATGAAACAATCAAACAAATGCAAAAAACAAAACAGACCAAACACTGAACAAGATCATTTCAGGTAATTTTAAGTGCTATGAAGAAAATTAAAGAGGAAATATAATAAACAGTGACTACGTGGTATTGTTAATTTCAATTGGCAAGACGAGGTTGTGAAGGTGACATTTAAACTGGTGCAAGTTGGTTAAAAAAAAAAAAAATCTTTATTTCATTTTTATTTTTAGAGAAAAAAGGCAAAGCTGGAAACCCCATCAACAATTAGGAGCCAGAATTAATCTGTGTCATTGACAAAGGATTGCAATAATATATTTTCTTCCAAAATATATACCTAACTCAATTGTTGTAGGAATAGAACGCTGCTCAAACATTCACCAATTTTATGTAAAATTGGTTTGGTTTTATTTCCATTAGCAGTGGCTTCGCTTTGTTTCGGAAAAGAAATTTTGGCCATATTACATATTGATTTTATTTTTATTTTTTGACCTTTATGCTTGCTTCTAAAAAAAATGGGGGTGGGGAGTGGAGCCACCTGGGTCCTAGCAAAAGGATGCAAAAATTTGATTTCTATAAAACTTAAGAATTTTGTTGTAAAAGCACCTATGAAAAACATCTGAAAGAATGTAACCTGTAACATTCACATTCCACAACCCTTTAAAAGAGGTATTGGAAGGAAATGACATATCTGGAATAATGAAAGGACTTTTTTTTTAAGCTAATGTTGCAAGGAAATGGACACCGAGTTTTAAGAAGTAATTAACACTGATTTTGGCAAGTCATTTAACTGCTCTGAGCCTCCATTTCTTTCCCACGGGTAAAATGAGAGTGTTGTCATTATAGGATCCCTAAATGTTTTGATTCTCCTTAGAAAACAGAAGGTGCATGATTCAGAACCTTTGCTGCATGAGGAAGGCAGGTGTGACAGTGGGCACTTACAAAAAAACTTGATCATTTGGGGTTTAGTTTTTATAAAAATTTCTTCTGATGTAATAAGGCAGATAAGATTGTACAACAAGTGAAGATGTTTCCTATATCAATGAAAAGAATGGGAAAGAAAAAACAGTAATGATGCGCAAAAGAAACATTACACAGCCAAAAACATTTGATAGCAAAAGAGAGAAGAGTGTGTGTGTGTGTGTACTATAATAGGAGAGAATCATTGGAAAGGAAACTAATTTCCACCATTTTGATTATATTTCCTTATTCTCTCCCCCAGAGAAATGCCGTTTTAATTCTTCCTTCTAAAATAAAGGTAGAAAAAGCCACAACAATCCCTACACTTTTTTTTTTTGTGGTGGTTGTTAAAGAAACAGCCAAAATCCTGAGAAGACACTGTTTGTCTACACATATTACCAATCTTATTTAGCACTGAGGGCGCCGTTTTCCAAATATTACTAACATCAGCCCTCGCTCCGCTGCGGCCGACACTCACCACCATCCATTTTTTAAAATCCTTTTACGTCGATCCTTTCATCCAAACCCATAAACAACCATTTCCTCCCTGCAACAGTGGTTTGAATGGCCCGAAACGTTCAGCCATGCAAGGGCTGAGTCGTGCAAACCCGGAGACTGCAGACTGCGGTGATGGGCAGGGCCACTCCTCCCGCTGCACACGACAGCTGTCCTCATCTACGGTGTGATTTAAGAGGGTTCAGGACCCCGATAAGACCCTGCCCTCGAAGCCAAGACCCTCGAACGGGAGGACAGAGGCGGCCTCAACCCAGCCAGCCAGAGCCAAGCCTTTGGAAAACTGGCTTCTCTCCAGCGGCCAGGAGTGGCCCAGGCTGGGCGCGCGGAGCCGCTCCCAGGTGGGTCTCTGCAGCCGAGGACCGCGGCTCTGGCTCTGGATTCCCCGGGAGGGAGGAGGAAGCGGGAGGAGGACGCGGGTCGGGACTTTGCTCGTCACGATTCACGAAGGAGGGTGGGAAAGAGGGAGGGACTGGAGACAGAAAAAGGAGTGGAATCAGAGAGCTTAGGAAATAAAGAAAGCAAGGAAGCGGAGAGGGGATATGTGGGGAAGGTAATGGGAGGGAAGAAGAATGAGGGTGCAGGGGAGGGTGATGAGGTGCGGAAGGGAAGGATAATGGGCAGCAGGGGGTAAAGGCGAGATGACGGGGGAGGTATGAGTGCCGGGGGTAAAAAGAGGAAAAAGGAACGAAGGAGGGCGGGTGCAGTGAAGGAGAGAAAAATGGAGTTGAAGAAGGGAGAGACGGGGTGAAGGGATGGAGCGATGGGGGTGGGGGGGGTGGAGGTAAAGAGGGGAGAGAGGGATGGGAATAAAGGGGAGGGATGGATGAAGGAGGAGAGATGGGATGAAGACGGGAGGGGTGGATAAAAGGGAAGGGGATGGGGTGGAGAGGAGGGATGGGGGAAGGGTGAGGAATTCGGGAAGAGGAGAAGCGGGCGCGGGCCGCAAGAGGCCGGAGGGACTTTCCTCGGAGGGCGGCGCCGGAATAACCGG